CTCCCCCAGCCACAGCCAGCCATCGACGGTTCGAAAGCCGTGCGCCCTCGCTAAGCCATCTGGCACGTACAACCACTGCCCTCTCACCCACTTACCCCCCGGCACGAACTGCGTCTCGCATTCGTGGACCCATCCCCCTCTCAGCCGCACCAGCCCCCACGGCAGGTATATGTTGAAGGTCTCGTTGACCCATTTCACCTCGCCGACCTGTTGGGGCGGGGGGGTGATGGGGAAGATGGGCAGGGAGCGGTGGGCGTGTCTGGGCGGCGGCTGTGAGGGGGGACCTCCAGACAGGACTGGCAAAATGCGTCTGACGCCGCCTCGACCAGTGGGAGGGCCCGCGAACGGTCCGGCGACGGCGAGCTGGCAGCTGCAGCCATCGTGCTGGCGAACGGCTGACCGGCCCCCGACAGAAGCGATCTCTCTGCCTCACTCTCGTGCTGCGGGGGCCGGGGGGGCCGTGCTGCTGACGACGAAGGCGCTGCCGGCTGGTGCAGGGGTGGAGTAGTGCTTCCGTTCTTCCTTCATCTTCAATGAACACGCCACAATCGCCGCTTCCACTATCAGCACACATACAACCATACCTACGAAGAAAACAATGTGTGCACCTTTCTACATTGAGACATGCATCTGCGTCTTGTCTGTCAGTCTCTCCTTACACTGCGCAGGGGTAGGCTTAGCTGCACGCACCGCGTGACGGATGGCTTCACTGAGTGCCGTGCCCTCCTCCTCTTTCAGCCCGTCCCTTGGTCTCATAACGCGCTCCTCGGCCTGGATGACACGACAGCATGCATTGATTGCCGTCGTTCCCTCGTCCCGATTCACATTGATTGCGTACCTCGATTGGCATTTGGTTGACCATGTTGCGAACGTTTTTATCGGTGAAGTGGGGGTCAAGATGGACGGCGATGACGGCCCGAATAGCCGCGAACGAGGGTGTGCGCCGTGCTCTTCAGCGAATTGCTGTGCATACGGGCTGTTGAATATATCACCGACCTCATCTCTCGACATCACGGTGACGTCACGCCGATCCGCAGAGCAGGGCTCTGGGACTGGTTGAGGCTTCGCCCGGGATACGCCAAGCTTGGAATATAAAATGTAGGCAGCAATCTGGATTCATGTGTCTAAAGGACAAGAGAGAGACGCAAACAGAACGCCAAGAAAGGAGAGTCCCCTCTTTTCTTGTCCCAATGACTCTTTGTTCCCCGCCTTCTTCTCTGTCCCAGCCCTGCCTACTTGGTGTGGCCATCTTGGTCCCTCATGGCCACGAGACGCTGCTCCCACCGCAGGGCCCACAACGTGTCGCGTCGGACGGCGGCCTCGGCCGGATTGATAGTGTCGTCCTGGGCCTCTGCTGCGGCAGCCTGCTGACCCGAGATGCTGCGATAAATTCTCGTAGAAGCCGCCCCTTACCAGGTGGCGCATCATCATCCCCGAGGCAAATGATGCCACCCCGCATCCCATGACCTCCGTATGCAGCAGCCTCTTTTGCCGCATCTTCTCGCTGAACTGGCGATGCGCCTCCCGCAGCTACCGCGGTGGCCTTGTCGTGTGTGGGCTCGATGCCCAGCCTGCTCTTCCAAACCGAGGCCGTCCGCTCATTGTCGGGCACTGCCAGGAGGCCCAGCTCAGGGGGCAGGGCAAAGTGCGTGAAGCGCGGGAGCTGACCGCGGGCCTCCCCCTCCTTCTCATTCAACACCACCTGGGCGTCCGAGCCATGCTGCTCTCACTCGGTCTCACCCTCTGGGCCGGTGATGGCGCCAGCGACGTCGAGTGGGAGAGGGGGCGGCAGGGGGAGGAGGACAGACCCAGAGGAAGACCTCCTTGCGCTGCAGGGCCACCCAGTTAAACAACACAGCCTTCAGGAGGTTGTCAAGGGCGAAGAGGTTCGCCGACGTGCATGCCGTATGGTCCAGCGCAAACAGGGCAACGCCGCGCACCGCATTGGCGACTCTCTCGCGCAGGCTGGCGACGATTTCGTCCGTGAGTGAGCCGGAAGCCTCGCCGCTGATGGCCTTGAAATTAAACAGCTGCACGAAATAGTGGTTGTCAACGTACTGACCCATGTCTGCAGTGGTCACAGACAGCACACACAAGACATATATGTACGCCTTCCTCTTGTCGCTGTGCAGTGTGTGTGAGACGTTTGCAGCCTACATTCGGGTTGACAGATGTCCATCCAGGGCATGGCCATGAACACGCACTCCTTCTCCGAAACCACCTCCTCCCCCCTCTTCTCTGTCAAAGTGGCGGGCGTATTGACGTCCGTTACACTTGCATAACAGGGCAGGAAGCCCCCGTCTGCAGAGTGGTTGCCGCCACCTTCTTCCCATGCCACCCAAGCGCCTCTGTGAGGTACCTGCTACCTCCTGAACTTGACCTCGGCAGCAAGTGACGCGACGTCATCGGCGCAGCGGTTCTTGAGGGCCCCGTTGGTTTCTCGGCGGATGATGACCACCTTGAAGGCTGCGTCTCGCTCGCCCGCCGTGCCCTTGAAAAGAGTGCCATGGTCCGCCTCGTGGGCCTTCTCAAACAGAGTCCAGGCCTCGCCGTTAGCCGCCGTCGAGACGAATGATGGCGACGCTGACGGAGATGCTGATCCCTGATGAAGGTTGTTTTCAGGGATAAACAAGGAGTGCGGGCTCTCTGCTGACGTCAGGCAGGCGCGGACCAGCCGATCCGCAGAGCAGGGCTCTGGCACTGGTTGAGGCTGCGCCCGGGACACGCCAAGCTTGGATACAAGTCGTCGAATATAAACTGTAGGCGGCGATATTCAAACTGAAGGAGACGAACAGAGACACCGGGAGCAGGCAGATGCATGTGTGTATGTGGTATGCCTATGTCTATGTGTGTATGTCTCGCTATATGTGAGTCAACGAATGTATCCTCTGTGAGACGCACACTGTGTGAGCAGGGCGAGCAGGCTTAGCACACGCACAGCGATGGCCACCTCCCTGCGGACCTCCTCGACGTCCCGGCCGACAGTGGGGCGGGATGGCGGGCGCTGATGGCCTTGAAGCTGCTGCCGGCTGTGACGAATCGGCGAAGACGTGGCGGGACTCCTGCCTGGCGCTCTCGCCTCTCTCCCTGTGAGCATCATTGTTGTCGATCTGAAGGAAGTCGACGCCCTCCAAGAACTTCCTGCCGCTCTCGATAAGGACACGCATGCGCCTCACCAGCTCGTGGCTCTGCGCGAATGGTCAATGCAGGTGTACGAGCCGACGATGCGTTTTGTCCTCTCACCGATTCAAATGAGCCAGACGGGGTCGATTCAGCACCAGCACCCATCACCATCATCTGCACGAGGTGTTGGATATGCAGGCAGACAAGTGACCTTTCATGGCTCTCTCTTGCTTTGGTTACCTGTCACGGCAACGTCTGTTTTAATCTGGGCGGGCGGCGAGATGGCTGCAATGTCGGGGCCACTTGCAGAAGACGGCTCGCCACCTGCAGAGCAACACATCCCATATGTGCGTACGATACGAGAGTGTGTGTGTATCGCTCCATTTATCTATCGTCAAGTCGGTGTGTGAGCCGCTCTAGTAGCTATCGATCGCTTACCTGTGGATGCGGGCACAATCATGTCAGCGCCGCCAACACTATCCCCGACACGACCTACAGGCCGCGGCGCACAGCACGCAGGCAGACATGTGAGTGACACTTGTGTGCAGCCAGCCGTCGTGTGCCATGCCCGGCGTCTCGCGTACCGATGTCCATGCGATACGCTCCACGACCTGAGGAGTGCCCTCCACACAAACGGTGGGACATACAGCCAAAACACGCAACACATCCATACACACGTGTGCGTGGGTGGTGTGTGTACATACCTCCACTCTATACAGCCGCAGCTGCTGCTGCAGGGTGTTGTGCAGCATCCTCATCTAGGACGAGAGAAGGCACGACAGCTCAATGCTGTACTCATTCGTGGCGTCTTTCCTTACCTAACTGATCCGCGAGGTCGCTCAGTGACTCTCCGAAATCATTATCGCCTAAGTGCACAACCGGCATGAGAAAAGTGTGCTTCTCTGTGCGTTGTGTGATGTGCGAACCGCCTTCTGGAATATCGCTGCAGGACAAAGCCGTCAGGCGGTATAGGCGCTACGGTTCAAACAACAAGACGACATCAGACACCTCAATGCTATGCATACCTACCCACTCACCATTCGACGACGAGGGGCCGGGCGCGTCATCAAACGGGATGGTGCCTAAACAGCAACGCACAATCATGTGACAAGTGTCAACCAGTCACTTTCTGCATCGTCCGCGTTGTGTTTGAGCATCTCACCAAAGTTGCTGGCGCTCGCTGCAGCACACACGGCCTGCACACGCACAGACACACGCACAGACACACAGTCAAAAAGGGACGTCCGTATTCAAAGGCAAAGTGCCGTGGATCCGTGTCTGCCTGTCTTATCTGTCTTTGGTGTGATGCCGTCAGTCCGTCCGTCTACCTGTGGCCCTTGGAATGGTGTGTCCTCCTCCTCTTCCTCTTTCTCCTCATCGTCATCGTCGTCGAGCTCCTGATGCACAAACATCAGCGAATGGGCTTCATTTGTGTGGCTCATTCCAGTGACTGTACGTTCAATGCTGCTGCTGCTGCTCCGAAGAGTCAGTCGGTCGGTGTCACTGTGCCGTCGACGCGCGCCAGGAAGGTGTGCAGCCCCGTGACGATGTGTGAGTGGGAGGCACTGAGGCGGCGCACAAGGGCTGTGAAGGGAGGGGGAGGCGCGATGTGCGGAGCCGTCGAGAAGAGTGCAGTGAAGGGCGGAAGGATCTCGGCCAGCCGTCGTTGCTCATCGGCTCTGCTCAGGATGATGGCGATGTCTAGCTCCTCGGCCTCGATGGGCAGCTCTCGACTATACGTGAGCCCGCCCGCCAAACAGAGAAACCAAACACAAACAGACAGGCCGTGTCTGCTGCGATGGGCTCGATGCGCGCCATTAGGGCGTCATTGAAGTCCCTCTTCTCTTCGTCGCTCATCGTCATGTCCTCCCCCACAATATTGAGCTCCCTGCGATGAACAATGCGCTCCTCGGCCTGAACACGACAGCACGCATTCATCAATATCCCGTTGTTCTCTGCTCCCAATGGCTCTTGTCTTCCCCAACCTTCTCCAAGATTGCCTACCTCGAAAGGCATTCTGTCAACGGCCTTGGCAACGTCTTCATCGGTGGTCCGGTGGGCGGCGAGGACGGCCCGAACAGCCGCAAAGTCCTCAGGCGCCGGCTGGTTGCGAGGGTCGTTGATCTACCGTCGGTGGTCCTCCATGACTTGCCGGCCGTAGGGGCTGTTGAAGGGGTCGTCGGACCAAATGGCCATGGGACGACGGCTCGTCGACATTTGCACTCTCAAATCTGAAATTCGGAGGGGCGGGAGGGCAAAGCGGACGACACAAGCCAATCGATCAGGCGAAAAAAGAGAAACGGAAGACCTGTGGCTGGAACGAGAGCTGAATACGTCACCTATTAACAGTTCTGTCGAAAATGATGAAGAAATGCGGGTTTATTGCGATCTCTCTCCGTCTCCGTTTCTCGGAAAATCTCGCCGCGGTTGAGGGGCAGATGAAGTCAGATTAATTGTCAGATGAGATGTCATGACGTCTTCATTTCTCGCGTCAAGTACTGTACAGCAGGCTGAGCGCGCGCTGCGTGAATCGTCGCCGCACAACCCTTGTCAATTCATTCTAAGAGAGAGAACCGATGCCACAACGGTAAAGTGAGGTCGAGGAACGGCGAGACCAGCTTACGCACAGCTAAAGGAAGCGATGCCACCCAGCCAGCAATGGGACACGCCAAAATCCATCAGTGCATGAGTGCGACCCGACCGCAGCAATACCCACCACACATTATGTCGGCTGCCTCTCCAGTGTCTCGCTTCCTCTTCGGAGCGAGTGAAGGAGGCAGAGCAGGACATCCAATGGCACCCAACAGTGACATATCGATCGACATTCATTCATATAAGCACACAGGCAGACAGAAGAGAGAGGTAGATGCGGTGAGCACGCCAAGCCGGTTGAAAGAAAAATCAGCACCCCCGTGGATCCTTCAAACGTAAGCGAGCACACGCACATGCAATAAGAGGTGATGTAGGAAGGAAGGACGCCTCTGAGAGGCAGGCACCCATGTACACGCAGACACGCACAGGGGGAAACAGACAGGACAAACACTCAGCTAGAGGAGCGCTGACGGCTCCTCTTCCCCCAATCTGTCGGGGCCAACTGTACAGAGCACCCATACATCCATCACGCAGTCAGCTAGGTAAGTTAACTGCGAGAGCACCGCATCAAGTGCAGCACTCGCGCGTCGAGCGAATTCAGCGAGAGCGTTGAGCATGGATGTCATGTCTATGGTACAGCAGGCAAGAAGTATGCATGTCCCTGGATGGATGGATGGATGAAGGGAGCGCGCTTCCCATTTACTCGCTGGGCAAAAAAAGCGCCCAAGGAAGCAACGCCAGCCGTGTTCGTGCGTGGCACATCGAGAGGAGGGAAGAGACAGGCAGGGGACAGGTAAGTGCATTCATCGGAATGCGATTGACCAATCACAGATGGAATCAGAGGAATGAAGACAGAGGAATGAAGAGGGTCAAAAGAGAGAAGCCCGCCCCCCGGCCCTTCAACATGCCCTTGTTGCTATGTCTGCCCCATGCCTCATCTCGAAGTTATCGCAGTCTCATTCCGCTGTAACTTCGTGATTGCCGCAGGGGTAGTGACACAGCCAACGAGAGCAATCGAAGGAAAGAAGAGAACCCGTAACCCTGCCACCTCACCTATTGCGATACCCACACTGACACGCAAACTTCCCGCCCTCTCTACTTCCTTCCTTGGCCCATTCATTCACGTAGCTATGTACATGTAATGTGTACATATCTATGCCATGATGAGCTGTGCTTCGATCTGCCCTCTCAGGCGGCCGTCCCTGTCGCTCTCGTGTGTCTTGAAGAGCACCTCGTCCACACTTGTGGTCGAGTTGAGCACAAACTGTGTAGGGGGCCAGGCAGGTACAGCCCTGAAGACGCACATAAAGCATGACCGACACATGCCATCCATGACATAGGAATGTATGTGTCCGTGCGCTCTCACGGACCATGAGCAGGCCTCCTCAATCTTGACGGTGTTGGTGTGCATCTTGGCTCTGAACCAGCCTCGCTCTCCCCAGTAGGTTCCCCAGCTGTTGCGGACGATCCAGTACTCCTCGCCCTCACTGCCACACGAGACAAGACACCAACCAGAGACAGGAAAGGAATCCATCCACTTGTGTGCGTGTGTGTGTGGTTAGGCTTACTCGGTGACTCCCCATCCGACGACACTGATGATGTGGTTGATTTCCACACCAGGGTCAGTCACAATGCCACCTGCACTCACAACCATACCCACGGCACAACACATGCCCGGCCGGCCATTCTCCCTTGCCCCTCTCGTTTTGTCTTGTCACTCACCGGAGTAATCATCGATGGGATCGGAGTCCACGCCGCATGCGATCGGTCCCCTCTTGTAGATCTCAGCCTTCATGGCCTGCACGCCGCTGATGGCGCCGTACTCTGTGACAAAGTACTTGAGATACCGCGGCTGGGGCGTGCAGTTGGTGGGGCCGGGGGGATTCCAGCACGTTAGGCACTTGTGCTTGTCACTGCACTTTAGATCTACAGCCTCGTACACTTGGCTGTCAAAGAGACAATGGCAAGAAAGCACCTTGCTTGCATACAAACGCTGTCTGTGCATCCATCTAGGTTACCATGTGTCGTCAGGGATGCCGTTGTCTGCCACGTACTTATAGGCACCCAGGTCCGTGCCGCCCCAGCACGTCCCCGCCTCCTCGCCACAGTTCAGGATGTCCTGGATTGACAGATTGCTGCAGCACCGACAGAGGGAGTGACGCGTATGAGAGGGAAAAAACGGCTGACACGTTCGTTGCAGGCTCACATGTCGGGCCATTCTGCCTTCCTTTTGATCTTGATGCGGTCCGCGAGCGCAGACATCGTCCCATGAGCCCTGAAGGTGTCACAAAGGAACAAACGATCCATCCCTTGTGCTGCACAGCCTGTCTGTCTTTGTGTCAGCCGGCCAACATGGATGCGTACCAGCAGGAGCCGCAGTAGACGGGGATGTGCTGATTCAGGTCTTTGGTGATGAAGTTCGAGCCGCTGACATTGCGCCAATCCCAGGTCTTGGGAAGCTCCTCGGCCATCATATACACGTGGGGTGGCGTGCTGAGGACCATCTGGGGCAGCGTGGACCTGATGATGTGACACAAACAGACACAAACACACAATAGGTGGAGAGAAGAAGCTACACACACCTCCACATTCTCAGAGCTTGCCCTCCTCACCTCTCCGGCATCCTGTAATTGGGGTTGAAGCAGCCGTACTTCCTCGTGCCGGCCGGCCTGGGTGCACCTTGCATCCCCTTGGCCGCCGTGTGGCTGCCACTCACCCCCAACACAACGCCAACCAACACCAGCAGGCAAAGTCGCAACGCCATCGTTTGCAGCTGGTCCTTCAGCAATATGTTGCCGGTGAGGGTCCGATTAATCACGAGTCGGGGAGTGGTGTAGAGTGGTGTTTCCGCAAGATTCGCTTTTCGGCGGGTGCGAGCTTAAAAGGAAGCTCGCAAGGATAGCTCGCGCTTTTTACCGCTCTCTTCTCTTTCCCCTCCTTTTTTGGGATGCGTCAGCTGAAGCACCACGAGAAGAAGCTGCTGAAAAAGGTTGACTTTCTGTCGTGGAAGTCGGATGACAATATCCGTGAGGTCAGGATCCTCAGGCGGCACTACATTCAAGACAGGGAGGACTACACCAAGTAAGACAACACCAAACATCGATGGCGAAAGCAAGGGAAGGGAATGAAGCCATGTGGTTGCTGTGTGTGGAATGTGATGGGTTTGTGCAGGTACAACAAGTTGTGTGGGCTGATAACCAAGGTGGTGGCCGCGTTGAGGAAGCTCAAGCCTAACGACGAGTACCGGATCAAAATGACACAGATACTACTCGACAAACTGTGAGCAGACACGCATCACGCGCACATCCGGCAATGAGCGGGTGTGTGTTGTCCGTGCCTGCCTGCCTGCCTGCATCCATCCATCCGTCTGTCCATCAGACACGGGATGGGTGTGCTATCCAATCGGAAGACCCTCGACGGCGTGGACAAGATCCCCGCGTCTGCCTTTTGCCGACGGCGGCTGGCCGTGTTGCTGGTGCAGCTCAAATTCTGCGAGAACCTCAAACAGGCAGTCGGATACATCGAACAAGGACGTAATGATCACACACACACTCACACACGCACCCACATATGATGGCATGGCAGGAAGGCATCTGCCTCCCTCGTTGATGGAGGCCCAATGGGTTGTGTGCTCTCTGTGGATGCCCCAAATGCAGATGTGCGTGTGGGCCCTGATGTGGTCAAGAACCCTGCCCTACATGTCACTCGTGATATGGAGGACCACATCACTTGGGCACAGGGATCTGCCATCAAAAGGTATACACACAGAAAGACATGCACCGGCTGGTCCGGATGACCGGGATGGGACTGGTTGGTGGGTTTGCCTCTGTCGCCCTGTCTGTCTGTGCGTCGATTCATTCAGGCACGTTAGTCGGTTCAACGAGTCACTGGATGACTTCGAGCTCATGGGCACGTGAGCACGTGAGCAGCTTAGCTCGGGGAATCTGAGGGCCGCTCCATACATGCCGCCATTATAAAGGATGGGCGATGCGAGAAATGATTGGGTGTGGATTGGGCGGCACTTTGCTGAGTGTGGGCTGGGGATGCTCAGATCTCTTTGTGACGGACAGAGAAGACCTGTAGATAGTCTAGCAGGGGCCCCCAGCCAGGGGGCTCGAGACTTCTTCGAATTTCCTTCCGCTCCTTCCCCAAACGAAAAAATGTCGTTGTTGGTGACATCGTTTGAGTCTCAGCTGGCCGTGGCACTCGACGCGCCACTCGATGGCCAGGACGATGACAAGCCGGCTCCGGACAAGGACATTCCAGCTCTCACTGGCCCCATGACGGACTCGTGCGTCATGAGCCACCTGGAGCAATTCATCAGGGCGTTGAAGGACTCCGAGCGAGCCCGTCGCAACCAGCACGCCAGCCGCGTCGTCCATAGAGTGGAGAAGGACCTCAACCGGTTTGTTACATCCATTCAGGTGTGCGCCACGCAAGCAACCGTGGGACGCAACCAACCGTGGGGGAAGGAGATGCAGTGCCTTCCTGTGAATGGATTGTGTGTGCAGAGCAGCTTCGCTGCGCTGCGGAACGAGGCTGAAAAGCTCAGGCACAAACTGCACGAAAAGGTGGCTTACTGTGTGGATGGGTGGCGGATGAATGGGGGATTAATTATCTGGGGTGGTTTTGTGTGCATGCAGGACTCTGAGCTTCAGTCCCTCCGGCGTCGGTACGCAGGACTGAAGAAATACGCGAGGTGCGTGTCACTCTTCAGCCATCCATTCTGAAAGCCCCATAGCCTTGGTGTGTGTGTCTCTCCCTCCGTCAACACAGGCAGCAGGAGGAGTTGGTCAAGAAGTACCAATCGGCGTCCAGCGAGGATGTCACCAAAGACGTAGCAGCGGCACCAGTTCCGCCTCCCGAGAACCCCCAGGCCAGCACCATTTCATCCTCAACGGTCGAGGCGGCAGCCGAGCCTGTCTCACCCCGCAACTCACACGCGTCTGTTGCGTCGCTGCCCCAGGAGCCGCAGCAACAGCAGCTTGTTAACGAGAGCACCAGAGTGGAGGTGCCCCCCGAGCAGCGCCGCGACGTGTTGTTGCGTGCTGTGCGTCGTCAGCTGGAGGTGTCGTGGCAGCAGAATGCCGAACTCAGGCGCACTGTTGAAGCCCTCAAGAAGGAGAGGGAATTCAGCGCTGAGGAGGCGCGCAACCTCAGATGGGAGGCATGGAAGATGAGAACGGTAAGCAGCCAGCCAGACACCGGGAGGGAGGGATGGAAAGCATGGATATATGTCATTAATGTCAGGCGCTGGCTCGTTCGTATCGGCCCATGACGTGCAGCTGGGAGACCAAGGACCGCATGAGAGACCGGTTCGCCTTCAAGACACGCTACATGCGGTCTGCCGCGGGGCAAAGGACGCCGGACATCCGGCTGCTGCGCCCCCCCACGCATCATACACCGAGAGCGGCCCTGACCGACGACGAAACCGACTCTGCGACGGAAGACGAGGGCCTGCGGATTGCCCTGGCTCACTCCCGACAGAAGGCCTCTATGTGCCAGAGGCTCAGTGGCAGCCTCGTCGCCTTCTGCCAGCAGCTGTTGAGCCTCACTGGATGCCCGCTGTGTCAGGAGGACCTGCAGAAACCCATGGTGGTCATCCCGTGTGGACACGTACTGTGCCACAAGTGCTGCAAGGAGGTCTTGCAGGTGGGCCGTGAGCACGGGCATATGGAAGCGAAGGATGTCCCATCCCGGACATCCAGCATTGTCCACGAACCGCGTGAAGTGGTGCGTGGAGCTGTGAGCCTCTCATCTGCACCCCCAAGACAGGTGAGTGAGTATCTGTCCGCCCTCCCAATCGAACTTAGTAATCGCATCTGGCTGTCTGTCTGTCTTTCTATCTGTGTCGGTCAACGACGGTCATTCAGGAGTGCATAGAGTGCTCTGCGTGTCCGGTGTGTCTGATGAGGTGCCCCGAGATGGTGCAGCCGTCCTCGAGCATGCTGGTAGAGGTGAAGCTGCTGACCCTGCTCTTGTCACGTCTGAGCAGTCTGCCGGCGACCATGCCGCCGCTGGAGGCCATGGTCCATCTGCAGGGCGACACACTCAGGCTGAAACGAAGGTGGGGGAATACACAAGCGGGGGGAGAGAGGCACACACAGAGACTGTCTGTCTGTGTTGGGTGTCTGTCTCATGTCATGATCGATCTGGCAGTATCGCTAGCCAGACGGCGCCTCCATCACGGCAGGGCCGCAGTCGGCACCAGGTCAAGCAGGCCAGGGAGGTGCGCAAGAGAGTTCGGCGCATATATCAGATGCTGAGGGGAGGTCCTAGGAAGACTCACCTACGACGTTCGTGGGCCATGCCATACCCACCGCATATGGGGATGGGCATGGGCATGGGCGGCTTCGGCCTCCCATACCCATACCCCCAACCATGGACATGCCCCCCCTTCTCTGTCCATCCTCCATCTTCTCTTCCCGAGCCACGCACTCTGTCTGCCGCCCCGCCAGCTGCTGCCTATGGCCCACCACCCGGTATGTCTGTGTCTCTCCCCGTCCCTCCCTCCGCCAACAAGCGCCCTGTGACAGCTCCAGCGGCAAAGGACACCTCACCCACGGCACATCTGCCGCCCCTGGTCCCCCCGCCTCTGCCCCCCTCCCCGTCTGTCAACGCCTTTGGGATGCCCGTGCCATCCTCGGAGGGGCAGCCGTCGCCGATGATGATGTCGGCCTCATCGGCCTGGCATCCCTTCCCCCCGCAGCCAGATCCACTTGCAAATGGCCTCCCTCCTCTGCCTGTGGGGATGGCGGGCATGCCCCCCTCCATGCCCCCCAACATCCCGATGGGTCTGTTCCACCGGATGCCGATGGACGAGGAGGTCGATGACGGCAGGGACGACGGCATACCTAACGCATGGCTCATGTCACTACGGAGGGCGGGAGACATGGCCTACAGGTGGGCTGAGACAGACGCCTCTCTGCCCTGCCTATACATACCCACCCATACGTCTGTCTCTGTCCCCCCTGTCATGGTGTGTGCAGCCCGAGTGCGTTTGAGCAGCGGCGATTGCCCAAGGTGATGCACTCCACCATGACGGTGACCAAAAGGTAGCTCCATCCGCAGCAGTGTAGTGGTGCTCTGAATGCATTCATGGATCGTTTCAATCGACCGACTCACAGACGATTTCATGTGTGAGTCCATCTATGGGCGCATACATCGACATGGTCTGCATGTAGTTGGCACAATGCTCGCTGTACATGAATTCATGTACCGCCGGCTGACTCGGTGAACATCACCAGCCAACAGCACCAGTCAACACCTATGGGCTGGCGTCACCGACTGACGCACTCATGGCTGGCCGCCTTTCTGTCCCGCCCCTTGCCCTTCTTGGACCGGAGCGACTTGCTCTTGAGCATACTGCAAACACACACACACACATCCATCCATCCATGCGGATGAAACGCACCACCCACTACTCGGCTTCCTCTGCTGAATCGCTTCACTTACACTTTGCCTTCGTAGAGGTCCACCTCCCGAATGTCGATGTTGAGCGCCTTCTCCAGCTTCCGTATCACGAAGCGCGTGTCGGGAGTGACGAAGTTCATGACCACCCCAGGATTGCCCGCCCGGCCCACACGACCCGCCCGGTGGATGTAGTGCTCGGCGTCGGTGGGCAGGTCCAGGTTGACAACGTGACTCAGCCACGGCACGTCCAGCCCACGTGCACCCAGCTCTGTGGAGACGGCCATGCCGATCTGCCCGTTCTGCATCCGCTTGAACACCTCCGCACGGTCGTCCTTGGACGTGAAACCGGACAGCGGGGCCGCTGCAGCCAACAGAAGGCAGTCCAGTGCTGTTGTGGTTGGTTTGGTTGTGTTGGTGGTAGTGACTGACCGATGATCTGTTTCTGCAGGAGGTGGTCGACGAGCCACTTGACGCGGCCCTGCTTATTGCAGAAACACAGGACGCGCTTGTCCACCGGATCTGAACACACACGCATACACACACCCACACAGACAGACACATACCTCGACACACAAACAACCTCCCTCGTGCTGTGCTGCGTGAATCCGCCCATCCATCCAGCCAGGTTTGGTAGGGTAGGTACCTGTGTGGAGGAATTTCCTGAGTGCCTCTGTGACTTTGTCTTCCCGCACACACATGAAGATGTGGTGTATGTTGGGGGGGATGAGGGGCACCCCTTCGTCGGAGTGCTTGACGCCACCAGGCCGGATCACGTGCCACACCGGACGCATGTACCTGATGGATGGACGAGGGAGGGAGGGAGGCATCGATTCAACATCCATCCAACAAAACGTGTATGTACGCGACAAACGTCTGTAAGTTTCAACTGTCCATACGCACCTTTTGGCGGCCTGTGTGACGCTCTTTTGAGCACCGGTGGCTGATGCGAAGATGGTTTGCCTATGTGTGGAGTGGGTGCCCTTGGGGATGGTCGCCATCAGACTTTCCAACTGGCCCTCATACGGATCCTGCATTCATAGACACACAAACCACTCAAACCATACATGCACGGGTGGAAAGAAACACGCCCTCTGCCCTGCCCACTTACTTACCCGTATGAGTTGGTCCACTTCGTCAAGCACGAGATACTTGACGCGGCTGAGGTCCACTTTCCGACGGTCCAGCACAAAGTCGTACAGCCGGCCTGGAGTTCCCACCACCACCTCGGGGCCGCCCTTGAGCTGCTCCAGCTGATACTTGGGGTTAGCACCGCCCAGCAGCATGGCGCACCGAAGACCAGTCCCTTCCAACACCACGCGACACACCTGACATGACAAACACACACATCAACCAGAGAGGAAGGGTGGGAATGACGAAAAGTACAGCCGTTCGTTCATCAATGCACCCACCCTTTGTATGTTTCCTCTTACCTTGGCGATCTGCGCGACCAGTTCCCTCCCGGGCGCCACAATGAGGAGCTCGGGACCCCTCCTCCGCCCCTGCACACCTCCCCGATTGCCATTGATATCGGTGGCATTGGTGGCAGCCGTTGCCCCATGCTCATTCAGCATGCGCTCGAGCAGCGGCAGGAGGTATGCGAGTGTCTTGCCGGATCCCGTGTGTGCGTGTATGATGAGGTCGTCGCCCTGCAGAATGCGTGGGATGGCCTTGATCTGCGTGTGGGTGGGGTTGAGGATGCCGCCACGCCGCAGGTTCTCCACCATCATGGCGTTGCCGATGCCGATGTCCGGGTCGGTGAACCGCCGCTGCTTCTCGGGGTCGACGTAACCCAACTCGGCGAAGTCAAACACACCGTCGTAGCGGGAAATACGACTGCCCTTTTGTGGCGGCCGCGTGCTCGTCTCACGCTGGTCGGTCACCGTGGCATTCGTCCTGCTCTGCAACTCTTCAGTGGCTCGCAGGGCCGTCTGGACGAGGTCGTGGCTGGAGCTCTCCACCCCACCCAGGCCCTCATCTGACTGCAGGAAGGGCAGACCGGTGTCGTCAGAGTCAGCCACGTCAACATCACCACCTGCTTTCTGCAACAACAGATACAGGCAGGTAGGGAGGGAAAGTGTGCATGAGGTGGGCAGGCCGGGTACTTGTGTGTGTGCGTGTGTAGGTACCTGCTGCCTCTTCTTCTTCTTCTTGGTCGCGAGAAAGCCGTGTTGTTTCTTCCACTCAATGATGCTGTCTGGGCGCTCCCTAGTGGACACTGGTGCATCAGGCGACGACCCAGCAATGGCAGCTGAGGCGACGGACAGAGGCCGGACAGACTCGGATGGCTGCTGCGGTGGCGCTGTTTTGGTGTGCCGTGACCGGTCGGGCGGCCGCAGTTTGAACGAGCGAGTGTCTTGGTCGGTGAGTCCGGTGGTGAGGTACTGGAGCATGGCCGAGCCCTTGGTCTGCTGGCCGTCCCCCACGTCATCCTCAGTGTCCCGATAGTACCGCCGGCCCCGCACTGCAGTAGGTGAGTCTGACCTGCCGCCCTGAAAAAACACACAGATTGTTGAATAGGCAGGCAGCCATGAACGAATGAATGAGAGGGGCGGGATTGACATGTATGAGACTGGTCGCAGTTAGTTAAATACCCACCTGTGCGGCTCCCCCAACTCCAAACTTCTTGTCCAGCCGTTCCAGCATGCCATCCAAATCCAACCCACGCAACTGAGAAAAGGGCAACACACACAGAGTGATGGATGCGCCATCCATCCATCCATCCATCCAGTCAGCCGCACCTGTGGGTCTTTGTCCATTTGTATGGATCCATCGGGTGCCTTGAAGCTCTGCACCCGCCGCCAGGCTGCCCTGTCCTCGTCGGTCTCCTCGTCCACATCATCCTCATCCTCACCGTCGTCGTCAGATGATGATGCTGCCGACACACCACCACCACTACCACCTGCACCACCACCGCCCCATCCCTTGTCCATCTCAAGCACGTCACCAAAGGGCTGCTGCCGACGGGAAACAGACGATAGGGCAAGGGGTCGGCGAACGGAGCGCCGTGGTCCAATTGCACGCCCATGTGAGGTAGAAACCCGCCTGCAAACACGACGGCGCTCTTGAGGAGGTGTGCGGCGTGATCTGTGCTCTTTGACGTCACCTGCTTGTTGTTGCTTTGTTCGCGATGAATGCCGTAGATCTGTGAAGCTGCAGACATTCGCGAGGGTCCATTGCTGCCTGCAAGGCGCAACCCGCTGTCAGCAACGCCTTCATCCTTTCCTCTGCTCGCCAAGCTCGCAAATGCCAAGCTCGCAAAGGATCGGCTTGAAGGCGTTCTGAAAAAGATCTGCACAGCAACAAACACTAAGGAGGAGGAGAGCCGCTGCAGCCGAAGATCTGCGAAGATCTGCGAAAGAATGGAGGCCAAGTCAGTGCCTTGTCAAGGTTTGCCCAGCAAGGGTGATGATGATCCGCCGCCGTCGAATCATCGACTGCTGGGGCCTCTCTTGTCCATCGGCGACACTGTGGTTCTCGAGAAAGGCGAGGAGCGAGGCCTGCCCATCCTCTCCCTGGCTTATTCCCTAGTGCTGGCCCGGGTCTGCGATGCAATGGTCAAGAGACTGCCACTCGAGGAAATCATGAAGACCATGATGCGGAATATGTTCGGTGAGGGAGGGCAACGGTGTGTGTGCATGATTGAGTGAGTGACTCTGTACGTGTGTGCCTTTGAATTGTGTTTGTGGTTGGTTCAGGGTTCATCATATGGGAGTTCAAGGATGAGGACACATCGCAAAAGCACGGCCATTCTGTGGTGCTTCACATCTTCCCAAGTATAGACACATGCATGAAGGCACATGCAGACGGGAGGGCGAAGGAGAGGCCATGACCTGTCCCTCGCTTGATTGCTTGTTTGCACGTCGTATGTTATGTGTGCCTTCAGAGATTGTGGATGGGTCGTTAGAGTATCCGCATTGCCACAAGAGAAACTGGTCAGTCAGTGCACATACTGTTTCCTCATTAATTCATTCATTCATTCATTCTTTGCCATTGGTTGGGTGTCCGGTGTGTCAGGTCCTCAATCAACATGCACGGCACATACCAGCACATCCTCTACAGCTTCCTCAAACACGACACCGGTAAGCCTCGCAGTGCGCCGTGCGATGCGTTGCACTGCAGGGTCGGTCATACTCATTGCGAACGTTACTCAGGCGAGGCCATCACGCCGGATCTGTCGCTGCCCGGCCACGCTGCTGAGTGTCCGCAGCAGAACCTGAAGCTCTTCGAGCACGAGATGGAGACGGGCTGCCATTTCAAAGGACCTGTGAGGGTCGACGCAGTGCAGGTAGGCCGGGGCGTGTCAACACGTACTCGAGACGGACGCCTGTGCGCCTTGTGTGTGGGGATGATCAGGAGTTCACCTACAAGAAGGGTGTGCTGCAGTATATGGACAAGCGTGTGCCGCATCGATTGGACAAATACGGTAGGGGGGGAATGGGCAATCGACGAGCCTCCGAGCCTGCCTCCGTATTATGGCTGGTTGTTTGTGTGTCTGCAGAGAACACGTTCAGTCTGAATGTTCGTGGCCCGCTGGACCCTACACTCAACACGCTATTTACCGTTCTCAACTACAAACCCCTCCCACAGGTGGTTGCCTCATTCACTCCCAGGAAATCATCGCACTACACACATATACATGCATTCCATTCCCATCTCGTGTGTGGGCGGATGGGTGGGGCGGATGGGTGGGTGGATGGGTGCAGAATGCGGACAAGCAGTGGCAGGTGCCGCTGTCATCCCTAGAGCACGCCTCAGAGATCATCCGCCTTGTCACCGCAACACTCGCCGATCCCGATCTCTCTGCGTTCGCGGCGATGGGTGGCGATGCGGCCAAGCTGGCGTCTCTGCCGATCGACGAGGCGTTCCGCTATGCCGTGACGATCGTCAGCGGCTTCGAGGACAGGTACGTGACCATTACAATCAAGGCGGCCGACACACACATGACATGACATGACATGACATGGTCTGTGTGGCTGTGTAGGTTCCCCCTTGTGATGCCTCTGGACAAGGGCGGTACGATGAAGGCTGGCGTGGTGACGGGTGAGGCCGTCAGGGGCCTCGTCTACCACAGCCTCAGGACCATGCCCGAGGTCCGAGTGCCGGAGCATGTGTAGCTAAGCAGCTGGGGAGAGAGGCAGAAGAAGACATGCAGCTGCGGCACGGGCCGGATCAGCTTGGATCATGCAGGTTCTTTCTCTTTCACTCGTTTATCTAATCGTGCTGTTTGAGATTTTGGTCGTCTCGCGTGCTTGTCTCGATTGATGCGCCTCTATTGTGTGAGCGCGAGGTTTTGTGTGTGCACGTTGTACTGTTTGTGGGAAGGGGGCAGTGCCTGGCCTGTGTCTTATCTTCGCCCTGTGCGTGCGTAGTGAGTGGCCAATGGCTGGGGCGGATTGGATTGCGCCGACCACGTGTGTGCTGTGTGGCGCCTCTTGGATGCTTGGATGAGTCCAGTCCCCCTCGCATAGCAAACGGGATGTATCTAATCTCAGACATGTTTACGAGCAAAGTGCCTGTTTAATCATTCATTGTACATTCAGTCGGTCGATGAGTCAATCGATCACTCACTGGCCGAGGAGCGCGAGTATCTCCCTGGCCACCGAGGGCTCGCCCCTCGACCGCACACGAAATATGATGTCTCGACTGCACTCGGTGATCAGGAAGTCGTCCATCTCCTCACGGCTTAACCGCGTACGACCCAGGAAGAATGACACACTCGCCTGCCACAACGCACATAACACAAAAGCAGACAGGCACGGCACGCAGGCAGGATCCTTCAGACGAATAGATGGGGCCGGCACGTGTGTGTGCTCTGTCGGCTCACGTATGGCGTCCCTTCAGGTGTGGAAAGTTCATTGAGGTCGTCTGAGAATAGGAAGCCGCCTTTCTGGGAGTCGGCGGCCACGATGGACAAGGGGGAGTCCTTCAGCTCACGACCCCCAAACCTGCATTCAACGTGCAGACACGCATGGTGGGAGAAACCAGTCAGAGACACAGAAAGACCTGCCTGTCATCCATGGCTGACTGACTGACTGACCAAAGGGGTTCTAGCATAAATCTCGATTGGTCGAATTCGACGTCGCCCACGAACTCCAAATCACCCTGCACACATACGCACACACCAGAGCACCCAGACACACACATGGACGGACAGACAGACAGTATTTAGCTGGCCATCCGGGCTAACCACGAGCATCCCCGAGCGGCGGCCCAGCAGCACACCGCTAAACTCATCCGACGACCGAGAGCCATCCTCTGACGCAGACAGACAGACACCCACAGCACAGCAAGGGAGGGGAGGACAGGAAGCGTCCCTCCCGTCCGTGGCTTGTGGTGCACTCACTGCCCGTCCCTGTCTGTCTGTCTGTCTGTCTGTCTGTCTGTGTGCAATACATACGTGGGTAGAGGAGTACGCACGGCAGCATGTCGTAGGTGACGCTTCGAAGCCCGAACTTCTCCAGCCGCTTGCTGTGACGCTTGCCAAGCCACCGACTGCAGTGCACCAACACACACCCACACAGCCGCACACACACGATATGGTCAGCGCAGGCAGCCGTTGGTATGTGTGCAGTGCAGTGCCGTGTGTACCTTGGGTTTGCGACGACAACGCATCCGCCGTCTGTCCTGGGTTCGTCAATGAGGCGGGCCCAGCTGGTGGACGCATCAGGCGACTCACCGCTCTGACCTGCACACACACACGACGCACACACAGACAGATACACACCCGCTTGGCACGTGCGCGTTGTGCACTGCATACTGACTGACCGATGAACATGCTGCCCTCTGTGAGCTTCCGCCGGAAGGCCTCGATCTCTGTGAGCGAAGCCTCATCTTTTCCAGACTCGCTGCCCTCTGCCTGCACAGACAACAGACGTGCCACACGCACACAGCGATGCATCACTCACTGCATACAGCCGGCCGGGGATGAGTCATTGGCAAGTGTGGTTTGCCTACACTGAGCATCGTGCTCTGTCGGTGTGATGATCTGCTGTGCAGACGTCGAGGCCTGGCGTGGCACAGGCGTTGAAGGCGCCTCTCTGCGGCCACCGGCCTCGCCGCACGATGTGTGAGCAATGGCTGCAGGAAGGCCGGGCGGCAACTGAATGGATCCATTGATGGAAGGACGTACCCACCACTCAGGAACGTCATCATCATCATCGGCTCTTCCTCGAGGGACCGATCCACTTGCGAGCTTAGAAATGCAGAAGGGGTTGGCATCAGCATGGAAGTTGGCAGGCGACGTTGCGTTCATTGTTCAAGCTTTGGAAGATCGGCATCAGTTGTGCAGCGGCGGTGGCAGTCTGGGTCATCTTTCCTGCCTCGAGATGTGGTCATTGCCAGCGCCGCACGGACGCCCGTGGGCAGCTTCCTGGGCTCACTCGCCTCACTCACCGCGCCGCAACTTGGTACGCACAGGCAGCCAGCCGACCACACAGATCATTCATCGCCAAGTGTGTGTGTGTCCACCAGGTGGCATTGCAATATCGCAGGCTTTGAAGAGGATACCGCTGGAGGGTGACCAGGTGGATGGCGTCATCATGGGCCAGGTGCTACCCGCCGGATGCGGACAGGCTCCAGCCAGACAAGCCGCACTCGGCGCCAGTGAGCCTGCCTACCAGCCCAGCCAATCAACCAGTCAAGTCACGCTGCCGGCTATATCGTGTGTGTATGTGTGTGTGTATTCAGGGATCCCTGAGCGCGTGGATGCGTTTGGCGTGAACAAGGTGTGTTCGTCCGGCCTCAAGTCAGTGGCATTGGCAGCCAACGCCGTCGCACTGGGTCAGGCGGACATCATGGTTGCCGGGGGGATGGAGAGCATGTCAAATGCACCTTACCTACTCAGGTCAGGAAGGAATCAAGGAAGGGACCGCCATAGACAGGATAGCACTCACTCACTGCATTCGTTGGTTCAATCATTCATTCACGACCTCTCTGTCCTGTCAGGAAGGCGCGTGTGGGAGGGTACAAGCACGGCCACGGTGTGCTGGAGGACAACCTGCTGCAGGACGGACTCTGGGACGTCTACAACGACATACACATGGGCAAGGTAAGCAAAGAAGGTACACACACATAGACACACATACACAGACAGAGAGACAGAGAGACAGGAAGAGAACGACGACCCGTCAGTGTATGTATGTGTGTATGTGTCAATAATCAGTGTGCCGAGAAGACGGCGCGTGACCACTCGATCCCCCGTGTGGCTCAGGATGAGTATGCCCTTGCATCCTACAAGCGCGCGGCTGACGCCTGGAAGACAGGCATGATGACCAAGGAAGTCGTACCCGTCAAGATACCCAACCCGGCTGGTTAAGACTAACTGATGATCGAAGATGCACTCACTTGTCTTTACGAATGTGTGTTGTGCCATACGTGCAGCTGACAAGAAGCCCGGCAGTGGTGTCCCCCCGTTTGTGTCGGTTGAAGAAGACGAAGAGTACCCCAAACTCAAACTCGACAAAGTGAGTGCGTCAGGACACACATAAACACACAATCATCCATCCTTTCCATACATCAGGTGGCTGGTTTGAAGCCTGTGTTTGACCCTGAGGGCACCATCACGGCCGCCAATGCATCCAAACTCAACGACGGGGCGGCTGCGTTGGTCCTTATGAGCGCTGACACGGCAGAGAGGATGGCCGTCGAACCACTCGCAAGGATACTCTCGTTTGCGGACGCTGCTGTCAAGCCCATCGACTTCAGCATCGCGCCCTCGCAGTCGGTACAGAAGGCCATCAAACTCGCGGGGCTCCACAAGGTAGACAGAGATCAGATTCAACAAGACGGACACGCGCACACAACCACACCATGGATGTGTGTGTGTGGTGTCTCGTGATATCAGGTGGACTATTACGAGATCAACGAGGCCTTTTCGTGTGTGGTGTTGGCCAACATGCAGCTGCTGGGGCTGGACCACGAGCAAGTCAACGTCCACGGCGGGGCCGTCGCACTCGGACACCCTATAGGCAACCACACACACTTCTTCCCTAGACACCCAGACAGGTATCAGGTGGACGCGTGCGCATGACTGTGTTGTGTGTGCAGGTGCGTCTGGTTGCCGCATCTTGATATCTCTGTTGAATGTGTTGGGGGCACGGGACGCCACGTACGGGTGTGCCGCCATCTGTAACGGAGGCGGCGGGTCCACAGCAATGGTCGTCGAAAGAATTGCCGCCTGATACATATATATGAGCGATGATGTGTGGAGATCGATGCCAGCTAGCCTAGCTGCCTGTGTGTTTTTCTGTCGTGGTGTGGCGAAGTCGGTCTGTGTTGACTTTTGTTTGTTTGTTTGTTGTGTACATAATTAAGTGTGTGGACGGCCGGCCGGACGCGGACACGGCGGAGCCAAACAAGGGATTGTTGTGTTGTGAGCCAAGAGAACCATTCACACAAATTCATCCATACCTCCATCCATTGAGCGTTGCGTCCAGACAGGCCTGTCTGTCTGTCTGTCTGCACAACGATTCGATTGCATGAAAGTATTCAGCCGTCTCGTACGATCCACCCACCCCGCGAGCAAGCAATGCAATGCAATGGAGCCGAGCCAGCAATGGCAATGAAGGAGCCATTCATTCATTCACACAGATGTAGTCACAAATAAGTGTAGACAGACCGACATGCAATCAATGCACACCAACCCCCTCTAGTCGCGTTTGTTCACAGGCATCCATCCGTTGTGTACACTGTGGCCACTGAGGCGAGCCCAAAGAACGAATGAGTGGACCCATCCATCAAAGAGGGGAGGGATAGAGGGGGGGAGGGCGGGAGGGAAAGGGATAATAAGAGTGCCTCAACAATACAATACACACACCGCGCATGGCCTGCACACCACACGGCCCTCCCTTTGATTGATAACATCCACATATATGCCGGCCCTTAAGGTATTCATGTCATGTGTTGTGTGGCATCCATTCATCCACCCATCCTCCCCCCGTCCCACTAAACATTGACGGCCCACGCACGCACCACTCGACGAGAGGGGGAGCGATGGAATGAACGATACGGGATCGATGCGGTGGTGGTGCTGCCATACACGTATGTATGTGTCCATTTATTTAATAGCGCGGTAGACCTGCCGCGTGACAATATAAGGCGTGCTCTCAACCTTGTGGTACCTGCAGCCATCCATCCATCCATCCACACGACAGACAACCAACAACCAACGCTCTGGAGCGAGCTCTGCCAGT